GGGCTGATAAATGGGTTTTTAAAGATTTTCCTTTTCATTTATTTTTTGTTAAAACACAGACTATGTTATGTAGAAAACTGTAGATAACATCCACATAAAAAAATCTGTGATAATTTGTTCTTTTACAATGTGTAATTGTAAATTAACACATTTTTTAAGCTGTATTTACATCAGTATAAAAAAAAATGTGTAAATGCAAATAAAATGTAAACAATTCTTATGAATATTTCTGCACTATTTGAAAGGGAAAAAAAGGATATTAAGTCTCTCTTTTTAAAAAAAAAACTTCTCAACGTCCAGTCCCTGTAATTTTAAAAATGGTAACCATTCTTTTATTATTATTATTATTATTATTATTATTATTATTATTATTATTATTATTATTATTATTATTATTATTATTTACAGTTTTACTATTTACAGCACATAATCAAGAGTTTTTTGTTTTTTGTTTTTTTTGTGTTTAATTTGTTATTTCACAAAGTGTGACCATAAAATTACACTATTTTTACTATAATTAAATGCCCTCTTTGTCTTTTTTTTCACAGCAGCAACAGTTCCTTTCACGTATTTCTTCTGGCCCTGTTGCCGCCACACTTTTACTATATTTTTACAGGATGTTTTATTTTTTACAGTGCGTTGCATTAAGGTTCACTGTCACGCTGCTGCCGTCTGCCGTCTCTGCAGGTCAGTCTGGGCTGCACCGTCTCTCTGGGGTCTGCTGGGACGTTTAACGTGACGCTGAGAAGCCTTAATGTGAAACGAGCAAATTATGGAGGAGATCCGTCTGATATGCATCACTTTTTCCACCATTTACACAATGAGGCAATGCAGGCCTGCAGGACGGCGCTTCCTTTGTGTGTGTGCTGCTGAGCGGGAGGTTCGGGGGGTTTCAGGACTCAGCCAGATGATGTCATGGCCATTAAGGAAGTTGCAGCTATAAAAGACGCCATTGAACTGAGAGCTGAGTGTCATTTTCAGTGAAATCACACCGCAATGTTCCAGCGAGGAAACAAGAAGCTCACTGACAATGAGGGCAAGTACAAAAAAACAACACAACAAATCAGGCTGCTGTGGCCGTGAGAGGAGGAAAATCACTACAGACGGCTGTAAGTGGCCAAATTAGACCAGAGGAGGCCCACAGTAGAACAGTACATAGTAACGGGGAGCAACAAACAACAACAGGAGGGCAAAGAGACACAAAATGATCGCAGAAATATGAAAAACAACCACAGAAAGACACAAACGTGACCACCAGCAGCCATAAAGGCACATAACATGACTATAACGAGATACAAAATGATCACAAACTGACAAAATGGGACCAAAAAGAGATGCAAAATTCAACTAAATGACCACAAAAAAACACAAAATGAACACAAAGGGACACAAAATGGCCACCAAGGGACACAACGACCATAAAGAGACATAAAATGACTAAAATTAGACGCAAAATGACGACAAGGGCGACGTGATGCGACCACAAAGGGACATTAAATGACCACCTACGGCCACATATGGACATCAAATGACTGCAAGGAGATACAAAATGATCACAGAAAGACAAAAAGTGGCCACAAAGAGATGCAAAATTGAACTTATTGACTACATAGTGATACAAAATGACCACCAAGGGACACAAAGGCCATAAAGAGACATAAAATGACTAAAATTAGACGCAAAATGACCACAAGGAGATACAAAATGGTCACAAAAAGGCAGAACGTGATCACGAAAAGACATAAAATGACCAAAAGGAGACACAAAATGACCACAAGGGTGACGTGATGCGACCACAAAGGGACATTAAATGACCACCTACGGCCACATATGGACATCAAATGACTGCAAGGAGATACAAAACGATGACACAAAAAAGGACACACAAAAGGATCACAAAATGACTCAAAGTTACCACAAAGAGATGCAAAATGACCACAAAAAGACATAAAATTTAACTGAATTAACACAGAAAGACACAAAACAACCACAAAGAGAAACAAAATGACCAAAAAGTGACACAAAACTATTACAAAAAGACAAAAAAAATGACCACATGGAGACAAAACATTACGACAAAGACACACAAACTGACCACAAAAGCTTTGCTGTAAAGTTTCAGACATTATGGAAAACAAAATGACAACACAAGGTTGTCTTGTCTGTATATCATTCTCACATAACTCCTCTCTACAGTAGCCCTGAACCTGTTTGCATCTGATTTAATTTAAATTCCTCTATTTTACTGGTGGCAACTTTTCATGTAAATCACACAGAACCATGTTTAGTAGCTGAACCTGAAGAAAACACCTGCATCACTAGATTTAGATGCATGAATAAATTATTTCTGTATCTCTGTGACAGTGTATTGAATAAAAAACAAATTACTTTTGTTCATTTCCGAGGAAACATAGTGAAACCTGAACTTTAAAACTCTTTAAATGGTACATTTCCAACACTTCTTGTCCACAAGGGTATAACATTCTCAGGTTTAGATGTAAAAGTTTTGTGGTAAGCAGAGTAAATATGGGTTTTGTAATTAAAGTAAAATGGGGGCTGGATGATGCTTTTATTATCTGTTGAACAAGCCTTTTTGAACAAGAACTTTTAAAATTCTAATTTCACATATTTGTAACTTCTAAGCTTCTGATGATCTTGAAACCTACACGTACATCTTATGTTACAGCTCGAGTTCAGCTTTGTTTGAGGAACAACTGGTTTCACATTTAAACTACAGGTAGATGCAGACGTCCTCACACCAGGAGGAAACGTCCCATGACATCCACAACATCTTGCTTTGGTTTCACACTTTCAGAGGTTCAGTTTGATTTAGTTAAAGAATCTTCATCAAGCTGCACAAATCCAGAGGAAAGAAGAACATCGTGGATCAAAACGCCCAAAACAGAAAAGAGCAGGAGTTGACTTTTATTTGCCCTGGATTTTGTCTCTCAGGCAAAAGAGTTTCCTACTTTGACTGATGCAGAAGGAGATC